CAACATGAGGGGATCATCAATACCGTAGAGTTCTATTTTGACCAGAAGGGTTGACCAGAAGGGATTAAGACAACCTTACCAACTTCCCGACCCGGGTGTTCCTCCCTTTTCGGACCACCCGAACCAGCCCGCTGTTCCGGGCGCAGCGAACACGTGTGACAGGGATGTGGTCAACAAGATCAGCACGCCTTCGAAGTGAGGTCGGAATCGGTCGGAAAGGGTTTCGGTGTAATGTAGAATCTTGATAAAGAATACCCCCACATGAAGAAGAGGTCTTTTTAATCCAAATGGGATGCTTTAAAAATCAAGAGTATACATTTTGATCCTGAGGGAGGAAAGAGGGCACCCGCGGGTGCTCGAGGGTCAGCTGGGCCCTTTTTCCCCAGCGGGGTTTTGTGGATGGTTGAATGAGAGATGAGAAACATTGGGGATGTAGCGAGGTGGTTCACCTGGCTGGTCGTCAGCTCGGGGCGAGATGGGTCAGGAATGGGTCGGGATTTGTGGAGAGGGAGGTTCTCATGAAGATCCTGGACACCAGAAAGAAGTTCTGCTCTTTATGAAGACCATGAGACTCGAATGAGATCTCAGTCCAGTCGCAAGTTGGCCGTGGACATCATCCGCCTCTGAAATCACGATTGTTGTTTTTCTCAAAACTTTTCAGGAGACCCCTAGCAAAAGAGTTGGCACAGAGAAACACCACTGATTCATCATGGGTTCTTGGTTCTTCCGGGCTTGAACAGATTCGAACAAAATCCGCGGGATCACAAGGCCGATGGGCCCTTGGAAGCCTGATAGGTCAGGCCTTCCAATGAAGTCTCTAAAAAACACATCAATCGACAAGCCGCATGCGGATCTGTTCAGGTTCAATCAGAGTCGGTGTCACCTCAAACACGACCACACGACGCCGCTGCGTCGGATGTACCACCCAAGCGTCGCAGTGCACAGCCCTACCGTGGTCCCTTTCTCACAAGTGCCGATCAGCCCCAGCACGGTACCCCTAGCACGATCAAGGGAACGTATGAAGGTGGGACTTAGAATGGCTCCAACTCAGATTACTTTAGTCAACTTGTTTTTGGCTTCCCCTGAGCAAGGTTTTGGGGCTTTTCCACTCTTGAATTAGGGCGAGCCCAAGACATGCCCCGAGAGCTGGTTTTGTGGGAGCTTGTGACGCCGTCAGGATGCTGAGGGTGGTGGTTGTGCAAAGCCATCAACCTGAGCCCAATCGAGGAATCTCAGTAGCAGGGGGGGTTTCACCCGGCCAAACTAGAGGAGGCCAAGCATTTGCGCATTTGCAATGTGTCACTGGGACCCATGAAGAGTAGGAACCCAAGAATGATCATACTGTAGTCATTTTGGCTGGAGGAGAGTAGCCGTTTTCACCATCTCCACACAAATGATGCCCTTTGCGACAGCCAGGTGGCTGGATGCTGTTCGCTCTGTTTTTTCGGAATCAACCAAAAACACACACTTAGATCCATGCTCGCAAGAGCTCTATCAGTTTGAGAAGTCCTGGAAGCCAGTTACTGCATTAGCACTTTACTGCAAAACACGGAAGGAGACAGCTTAAGCTCTATATACTTAGAACCACAAGTTAGTTATTGCAGTAGCACTTTACTTTACTGCAAAACACGGAGGGGACAGCTTAAGCTCTACTTAGAAACACCATTCGAAAGCAAGCGTGCAGGTACATCCAGCTGGCCAAACTGGATATCCCATTTCACTGTTAGCTTCTTTGGACACAGTCTCAGTGCAATGCTGTGTCCCCCTGCAGGTCTGCACACGGTAACGGATTAAAGGTGAACTCTACCTAGACGACATGGTCGTTCTCCTTGGGTACGGTAGGTGAAACACTTATTGAAATGCGTGCTGACTCGAATGCCGCTCGCCACACGAAAGGTAAAACACGAAACGCGAGTTGCGGTTAGTAACAGAACCACATACATGAACCAGAATGAAAGCAAACCACAGCGAGAACAACAGGTAACCAGTTTGGCAAGTACGTTTGCACGCGTCCCAGAGGAGGTCTTTGTTGGCCACCGCTCCTCTGGGACCCCGGTGGCCCCCTGCATAGCTACTGTCATAAGGTTGAAAAAGGAAAGAAAAGCAAATCCATCAGGATCCCTCTGACTCCAACAGTTACATGCACACTTCAAGACAAACAATCCGAAAGGATCCCTATGATTCTAAGGGGTACACGCACACACACGCCCCCCCCGAGGGGAGGCAAAAAACTAAGGTTAAGGCGAATGTGCACATGTGCGCGCAACGCGGACAAACAGATGAAGACATGAAAAGAGGACAAGACAGGACACAGGTGTGTGTGTGTGTGTGTGTGGTTGCGATGAAAGGGAACCAAGTGCACAGGGACAACCGATGAAAACCCACCTCACTGTAAAGACCTGGACGACCTGAAACCTAGGTTGAAAGTCGGTTGTGCACGTACATACTAAGGGCCGGACCACTGTGTGCGCAAAAGAATGAAGGAATGAAATGCCAGGACATGAAGACAGGGAGACGTGACAGAAAAGACAAGAAAAAAGGTGTGTGAAGAGGAAAAACGATGAAAAAGGAACACCAAATGAAGGGGACAGAAACCGATGAAAGCCAAACCTCATTGAGAACCTGTTGCAAAGACCTCGTTTGAGAACCTGTTGCAAAGACCTCGTTTGAATGTAAGTAAACTGTGCGCGAGGAAGGGACGGGTAGGGAGAGAAGAGAGAGAGAAGAAGGAGAAGACGACGGTGTTCCCAGCTACGACACAAGCGTCCAAGGACACACCAAGAAAGGAAGAAAGGGGTTCCCAGCTATGACGAAAGCATCCAGGGACACCCAAGCAAGAAGGAAGGGGAAAGAAAGGAAAGAGAAGGAAAGAAAAGGAAGTTGACAGGTGTTCCCAGCTACGAGCAAGCGTCCAGGGACATACCACGGAGAGGGGTGTACCTGAGTGTTACATTCAGGAATACCCCAAAAGCAAAGAGAGAAGAGGGGGTGGGTAGGGGGAGGAAGGGGGTTAAGGTCCCGACAGGTTCCAATGAACCTAGAAAATGCTTTGACCGCTCTGGTCACCTTGCGCCATGCCAAAATGGCGGGCGACTTGAGCTGTGGTCACCTAAAGGCATGCCAAAATGGCGGCCAGCTTGGAATTCAATAATTCGTCAAGTCTTGGCAAATAACTTTGGCATAAGCCTCCTGCTCTCCGCTTCGGACACCTACGTTAACGGGCAGGGGGAACAACGACAAACCCCCGCTCGACGGGTCCACACAGGGCACTCTACGGGCTCACCCTCAGCTCTCACAACAAAAAACACACTTATTGAAATGCGTGCTGACTCGAATGCCGCTCCCCACACGCCCACCTAGGTATGAACGCCTAAGAAATCAGGTGAAAGGTAAAACACGAAACGCGAGTTGCGGTTAGTAACAGAACCACATACATGAACCACCATGAAAGCAAACCACAGCGAGAACAACAGGTAACCAGTTTGGCAAGTACGTTTACACGCGTCCCAGAGGAGGTCTTCGTTGGCCACCGCTCCTCTGGGACCCCGGTGGCCCCCTGCGTAGCTACTGTCATAAGGTTGAGAAAGGAGACAAAAGCAAGTCCATCAGGATCCCTCTGACTCCAAGGGTTACATACACACTTCAAGACAATCAATCCGAAAGGATCCCTATGACTTCGAGGGGTACACACAGACACGATGGTTCATCATCAAACTGGAGGATGGTTCCATATTTCATGGGTTTTGGGTTTCCCATGAACTGCTAAAGGCCCTCCGACCGTTTTGCCCACCGTGCCGGATTGAAAGCCCGGCGAAGCCCCCACGACACCGGGGCGCAGCTCGGTCTCAGCGCTGCAGACAGCCCGGGTGGCGATCGCAAGCCCGCAAATCGACATCCAGGTGGCCCCAAGCGATGCTTTTGGATCCATTCTATAACTCATATACACACATGTCACATTATAAGTACCGTGCAGAAACATACACTGCATATATATATATATAGAGAAAGAGAGAGAGAGAGTGAACAAAGATTGAGGAAACATGTTTCATTGCTTAAAGAGATGCTGCTGCGGTGCGAACGAATCACGATCTTGCAAAATGTTCCAGCTTCTTGTGCCGGACAATGTTGGAGAGGCTTTGAAGAACCACCGCTGCTTGCCTTGTTCAAAGCAATAATATCAGCGGATCAGGCATCCTGTCCTAGAAATATCAGGATCTACCTTCACCATGCAGTCATGCAGGTGACGAGATTTCACACTAGGCTGCCAGCTGGTTCTGTCATTACTTTTTTGATGCCTCCAAAAAAATTTCCTCATGCTGGCAACGCCCAGCGGGTCCAAGCCGCGCACGCAACTCACCAACAAAAAGGCCCGGCCATTCTTTGCAGGTTCCGAGAATATACCGGTGACATGCAAAGGCATGTGATATTCTGATCCAAAGGAGTCTGATACCATCTGCATCCCATGGGTCGGTCATACATCAGTTCTTTGGAAGAAACGATCCATCACATGAGAGTGGCAGTGAGTGGCATTTGTTGCCGGCTTGGACATTCCCTCAAGAGCGCAGCTTCGGTTGTGCAGCTTTGGCGTCCCAAAATTGGGTGTAGTATGGAAACCCTGAAAGCGCGACACTGAAAAAACCGCGCTGAGTGCTGATGGCCGAGGTGGTTGGGGTGGTGAATCCAGGGCCACTGATGGCCATTTCTTCCGATTCCTGATGGAAGAAGTCCTAATACCAGACCTGGGGAGACCAGAAACATCCAAAAACCATTTCAAAACAAAAACTGCATCTTCAAGGCTTTCCTGATCTCAGGTTCTTGGAACTGGATTTCTTCCGAACAGCTGTTCGGAAGAGTTCCAATTGAATTTTGAACTCCTCAAAATCCATGGTGAACTGTAGTCCAATCATGCTAACATGTGGTACAGTGGTATATAGTAACTGAATGGACCTGGGAGTGCTCTGGCCCTCGTTGGACCGACCGCGGGGGACTCGTCGGCCGAGGTTCCCGGCACACCGCTTTGGACTCGCTGGGCAGGACGGGGCCACGGGGTGTCACGTTCGGTCCGTCTGCGAAGGTGAAATGGTCCGGGTGCATGCAATGTTTGCTACTTGTTACTACTAGCTTCTTGTTACTAGTAGTAAGGCACCTGTTACTACTAGCGTGGCACTTGTTCCTAATAGCTTCTTTGTTACTACTATAGTAAGGCACTTGTTCCTAGTAGCGATGCACTTGTTCCTAGTAGCATACTTGTTTATGGTCCTCGGTTTCGTTTGCAAGGAAATGCGTTCTTTTGGCCCTGGGATACCATTTCACTGTGTTTGAACAAAGTTTGAACATAATTAGAATTATTAATTATTGGATTCTAATGACCATGACCATACACGTGTTTTCCCGTATGACGCCCAGTGGTGTTTCTTTTTACACGGAATTCAATCACACGCCTCTTCGATGACACCGAATGCCGATGACTATGACTATGTTGTGAAATCGAATGAACTCGCGGTAATGACACTGTAAATCGCTGATGATGTTGTGACTTGATAATGATAATCATCCTGTGACATACGATGATATCCTTCTCCCCCCACCCCAAATTTAGTCACGCGGCTCTTCGACGACGATGCATGTTGAGACAATGTTGCGAAATCGATGACACATTTGCAAGGCTGTGACACCAGTGTTAATGTGATATTGTGATGAAAAGACGCTATCCGTTGTAGCCACTTGTTGGGCTTGTCAGTTTTGGACCTGTCTGACATGCCTCCACTGATGCAGATGGTTAAACCTATAAAAAAACAACGAACCAAAAAAGTCTCAAAATGGGAAGAGTGGCTTCATGACGCTTGTGCATTGAAGAGCTCTTGCTCAGAGGGTCCCCAGTCAGCCAGTAGTTGATGGAGGAGATACTTAGAACCCTCGGGCCCCACTCCATCTGTCGATTTCAAGTGGATTCAGGTTTTTTCCAACTGCTCAACCAAGCATCCTCGAAATTCCAGTCGAGTCTCTGAGTCTTGGAGCATCCTAGCGATCGTTTTGAGCCATTGGTGTTACACATGTCTAGTTTTGTTGGATATGGGTCGTTTAGTGTTGGAGGGAAGGGATATGGAAGGAATCGAAAGCACTTCACATGATTCCAGTTTACCACCAGTTTCTCAAGATCTCGTCACATTCGCACTTACGGGTCGATTTCTTTGGTTGCACCGACATGGGCAGGTCCTTCCTGACCATGGCTGCCACCTGCTCGACTGCAGGCCTTGCTGGAGGTCTTGAGCTCTTGCCTGCAGCGGGATCCGCGGTGGGGACTCTCAGACTCTGTTGCGGCTGCAGTCACTTCGGAGCGCGCGATATCGCTTCATTTAGGGCTTCCGACGGTGTCGGTGTGTTTCTGTGTCTGTCTGTGTGGAAGCAGTCTTTAAGAACTCGGAACCGGGTTTGGTGCACATTGACATGACCTCAATGCAAGGTTGATCCGATTTTTCCAGGTTTGGACCACATGACACCGGCGATCCATTCAGGTTTGAGACCCGATTGTCCGGGTTTGGGCCATGCCTGCAGCTGGTTTGGGCCATGCCTACCAGTCTCCACCGGACTGGACCGTTATCTCCGCAGCACATCTTTCTGCACAGCGCAGGAGGCGGCCCTCGTTGTGCGAGCTCTTGGCGCATCCGTCTCTGGAGGCACGGATTTACCCATGAAGCTTCACGAGAAACACGAAATGAGGATCCTCAGACAATTTAGTAGTCTAAGAGAAGGCCGGTACTGTCTATAGTGGCTATGGCCCATCCCTCATGGGTCACTACCTGCAGTTAAGGGGATGAGCTAGGGTGTGGACCGTTGAAACAGAACAAGTAGTCTAGTGAGAATTGAAACTGTTTTTGACGGGTTCATGGGTGGACCAATCCTCAGTGACCGCACCAGACCGTGACTTGGTTTGAAGGTTCTACTGTGCTGCTTGTGTTTAATCCCGAGAACCTATTAATAAACACTCCCCAATTAAAAAAACACAACGTCCGAAGCCCTAAATTCGGCTTATATTTGTTTTAAATTACCGCCTTTCAAACCGCTACTAAACTACCAACATGGTCGATTTTGGGGGTAGTTTCTTTTTAAATAAGGTTCCCCCAAAACTCCCTCGTGACACGCCGCGTTTACACCAGCCACGGAGTCATGCAAACGCACTTGCCACCGCGGTCGTGCAAAACCGCATGGCACAGCGACATCACCTTTCGAAAGCTTTGGTTGTTAGTCTAATGAAGAATCAGTATTCTAATAAAGGTTTTTGTAGGGGAAAAGGAAGACCCTTCGATCTGGCAGTTTTTTGAATTTTTGATACGCGTTTAATAAAGGATTCTATATAAAATTGTTCTGGATTACTTTTTGGTTTTGAAGCTCTTCCCAGGCGACGCTGTTTTGGACCCCCCCGATTTCAGGGACCCCCTATTAGAAAAATGCGACCGAGCTTCTCTTATTAGGGAAGGGGGGGGCCGTGTTTATTAATAGGTGGAAGGGATTATAATTCTGCTGTTAGTTGGAAAACAGGAGTGGTATTTATTAACATACAGTGAATTACAGAGTGACTCCGTGACTCCTCAGCAAAATAACACGCTAGGATCATCAAGGGGTCCATGTGATTCCGAATACTACAAGCCCCAGGATGCTCCCTTAAGGGGCTGTCATGGGTCTAGAGGGCACCTCTGGCTTTCTGTGGTGAGGGCCCTTGCACGGCTGACAAAGAGCTGAGAGACGAGAGGGTGTCCGATGAAACGACCAGCAATTTTTGGTCTCGTCAAATGAAGAGAAGCAGTCACAGCACCGGAGAATTTCTAACATGTCCATCGATCCTGTAATGTAATTTCACGGGGTTCGTTTTGATCGACAGGCCCGAGAAGCGAGCATTGGAAGGTGCAGCATCGCGGGGTGATCGGGGTGCATTGGTCGTGAACCTGCAAAATGATTCAAAGTCTGTCAGTGCTACCATTGTTTATATTGTTTTAATGGTCTTTACCAAACCACCATTGTTTTACTAAGGATTTTACACTACGCAACCAGGTCAACCTTCTCTTTGAATGGTCTTGAAGGCCTAGGGTATGTATGCCCAGGTCTAAAGGCGCGCAACGTTAACAACATCACCGCCAGCGGAGCACCGCCAGCAGCAGAGCAAACAACGCGCAAAAAACATATGCCATCATATTGCCATCAATTGTCCGTTCCAAGCTTTAGATTACTTAGTTTGGCCCTAGGCCAGAAAACGCGCACAGGGAAGTTCGGCGTGCATCTCAGCGCAAACAGAACACCAGCATCACACCATGCACGCACAGCAAGCATTGTCAGCACCCATTGTCAGCACCCATTCTGCCGGCGATTGCAAGTGTTCCCAGGCAGTGGGGTGCCGTCATGCCCTTGCTAGTTCATACTCCATACAATACATGCATAGTTGGCTAATGTTGGCTATTTCCATATATAATATATAATTACGATTCTTAACATATATGTTTATTATATATATATATATGATATGGTCATGACAAACACTAGAACAAATAGCAGGGTACCATCCAGACCCCCACTAATGGGTACGTAGTATCTAAACCTGTGGGTAAATCAGTCGAGCATTTCTTGTGCCACATTCCTTTGACGTCTTGAATCTTTCTGTCGTTTGATAGCCAAACAGCCAGGCAATTTAATAAGTCAAGCACCGGAATTGCTTTGGTCCAAAAAGGCCTTGAAGCAACGGATTCAAGCACAAGTTTGCTGCGGTGATTGGGCCATGCCCGATTCTCCTTCTTCGGAGTTTCACAGAACATTGAAGGCAGCTGTAGTGTTTTGATTTGGAACTGCAGACTCAAAACAAAGATATATAATATATCTGAACAGACATTTGGTTTTGATGGTTACTATATGTTACCATTCTGTCGGCAATCTTTTTCATAATCGACAGATCATTACGTAGTATTTTATATCCAATAACTATCCTTGGGGTGGCTCTGGAACATAGAACTCCATAAGTTTTATCCATCGAGGATGCTGTTTGATCATCCCATCGAGTGCCACCCTGCTGCCAGGACACCCCAGGACAAGCGGTCGGTGGGCGGACAAGCTGAAGCCGGCTTTGGATGGGTTGAGTTATGTTGAATTAGATCAGGTTCGGTTTTGTTTGACATTTTCTGTTGGTTTGCTTGGAGATGCCACAGGCAGCAGGCACATACGCGACCAAGCGACCAACTCCTGATTCTGGTCAGCAAACACACCTTCGATGTGGGCGAAGCACATCACAAGATTCTCATGGGTGCAACATGGTGCAACTGGGTCCCCCGGATTTTTGCGGGCATTTCCGCAGAAAGACTTTGTTTGGTCATCTCTGAAGCTAAATGACCTTTGCAGCCACAAACAGATCCTTTGGATACAGTCGATGGTCCAACAAGGGATTTTGAAGCTATTCTGTTTCTTGCTTCTAAGGTCCCTTAAAGGTGCACCAGAGCACCATGGTCCAACGATGGAACAACTCCCAAGAACGCCCCTAACATGAGAACATGAACTCCCCAGAGACTGTGCTGACGGGCCGCGAACCCCTGAGACCTCTGAACCCAAAACTGCACCTCTGAACGAGAAGCCCAGCCGTCGCAGGAGAAGCCCAGTCCAAATCCACAGGCGCAGGAGAAGCCCAGCCCAAATTCACAGGCGCGACTGCTACCGTATTTTCCGGACGGGTTCTTCTTCAGGCGACTGACACCCTGGTTCCTGGTTCTCACCTCCTAGCATCTCCTAGCATGGTTCCTCTCCAGACTGCGGAGAACAAGGTCCCGTTCTTTTTCCATCTTTTTCCTGAGTGCAGTGTTGGGGTACGGGTAGTGGCCCACCTGTCCGCGTGTTGTGTGTTGCACCAGGACGTTTGGGACGCACGATACAGCGTCCTTGGGAGCACGTTGGTCACCATCAGGAGACCACCATCAGCATTCGTGAGGATGGAGGGGATGTAAGGGCCCCTTGAGGAGGTATTTTGCTGTGAGTCGGTTGACCTCGCCCACCAAACCATCGCAGGTTGAGATCCAGAAATTCGTTTGACCCTGATTTAAGCAGGGTGGCTGTGGGTTTTGACATGTATTGACCCATTTGTGCACGGATGTAAGGTTTTGCCATGGTCTTTTTTATCCAACTTTGGTCTGAGACCAGGCCAGGGCGGTAGAAATGTGTCGAAGGTGAAGGTCTCGTGCTTGGTGACTGCGGTTTTCCATAGCAGGTGGAGAAGCTGGAATCCTCGGCGAAAGAGGACGCCGACCTTGGGAGTCGGGTCGTTTTTGTGACCACCCAGTGACCTGGGCGTTGTTTCTGTGTTCTTTTCCTCTCACAAACTAATGGAAGGCAAGAACCAGAATGCAAATCAGGTGAACAGCAACGTTGGCCATGTGTATCCATTGTTCTATTCTTTTCAGTGCTCTTGGGTTCATGGTCTCAACACACCATCAGAGTGGGTTTTCACAACTCACCGACATCACCGATCCGAGTGGAGATCTCCGTCGCAGGTGCCACGTGGCGCGGCGTCACGTGGCGCTTTGTCCTTGGAAGAAATGCTGCTGGGGAATCCCGGAGAACGTCGGTTGCGCAGCGGACGGCACCGGGGGGGGACCGCCACGACACCGTGCGCCACGATCCATGGCCTTCATCCTTCAAGTTCTTCCAAGACTGCAGATTTGGCCCTTCACCTTTCCGCCCTTTTCATGTCAGTCCTTTCCCGTGATGAGGCAGCTTTCCGCTACATGGACACACGCCTGCTACCGACCACATGCCTTTGGTCCCTTTGGTTGAGGTAGGTCGAAGCGAGGGAACTGCGGCGATCAAACATGGGCATTCACCAAACATTTGGAAGTTTCCAGGTTTCCCATGAATGTGGTGGACACACTTCCAATCATGTCACACCCCAAAGGACCCAAACGAACCCGTGTCTCAAATGAAACATGATAACCCATAGACTTCGTGCTTCCATGGCCAACTTCGTCACGGCAGCAGCTTCCTCTCTTGGCTCCCAACCCCGTTTTCGGTATCTGCGAGGCAACGGAGCAAGTCAAAGCTCTCAGCACGACATCCCAGGTGCGTCGCCGGTGCGTCGCACGGAGCCAGCGAGGGGGTGTTGGATTCCCAAGTTCTGTTGGATCTCAACAAAGGTTTGGGACCCATCTTGAGAACCAAGTGCGTTTGGGTGCCTGAATCGCCAGAATAGTTCTGTTAATGTGCCCCAAAACCACAGTAACAGCTGCTATAGCTTGTAGGCTAGTAGGCTTAAGTATTGAGTTGACCACGGTTGACCAAGTATCGCTCTTGCATCAATACAATACAATGTGTGGGTTGCTTCAGACGACTTGCGACCCTTCAACAGCAACCCAGTCAGACTGTCAGACCTTATACAGATATACAGCCTTATTGTTGATTTGTGCCACCAGCCATCGACCGTTCGTCACATGCCACAGGGAACTCAGCCGAGTATAGGGGATGCATGGCCAATGCTCCTTTGGCTCTAGTCAGGGGGCTTTGGTGGTAGGCGTGTGGTCGCGCCATAGGGCTGTGGCCAGTCACCGAAGGCACGGTCGAGGACGACCTCAGGAAGCTCAGAAGGAAGAAACAGCGCGTGGCTGCGCTTGCAGCTGTGGTGGTGGGGAAGTGGTCGGGGCCCGCGCCAGTGTGTGTAATACACATTGGTAGCGGAGCCCATCACGGCCGAGATCGATAGGTGAGGGCATCGTTCGATTTCGTAAGCTGTGAAGGGTTCCAGGAAGCTGTCTTGATGCCGCCGAAAGATGCTGGAAATAGCAACACTGGCAGCCTCAGCCACCTTCCATGGGGACAGATCCCTGGGTTCAAACCAGGGGAAACGGATTTGACTGAGTGGACGAAGAAAGTTGAATTCCTGGCGCAACTGTGGCCGCAAGAACACCTCCAATTGTTGGCACCCCGCATTGCGCTCCAGTGTGAAGGCTCAGCATTTCAACGAGTTTCCCGACTTGATCCCAAGGAGCTGCGTGTGAATGGTTTGGATGGTGTGAAGACCATCGTGGAAGCATTGGGTGGGATTTGGGGAAAGTCCCGCCTGGAAGACAAATTCGAGAAGTTTGAAAAGGCCATTTACGGAACAGTTCAACGATCCGATGAGACGCATGAATCGTACTTGGCACGACATGATCACCAATTTGAGGAATTGATGGGAATGAAAGTGGGTATTGAGGAGTTTCGTGCCTACATCCTGCTGAGGAATTCCTCCATGAGCGCGGATGACAAGAAGCGCCTGATCGTTGAATCCCAAGGTTCCTTGGATTACCGTTCCGTGGTCAACAACCTCAAGCTCTTGGGTAGCAGGTTTTTCCACGAGGTTCACACCGGGAAGCCGAACACCACACGAACCAAGACATACGATACAACTGCACTGTTCACCGAAGATGAACCCCAGGTGACCTCGTCTCCCCCACCAGTTGGGGAAGAAGAGCAAGGGTTTGTTTTGGGAGAGCACTATGTTGATGAGTACCTCATTGAACAATGGGCGGAAGAAGGTGACCCTGATGCCGTGGTGTGTATGCAATTTGAGGAAGGGGTCATGGACACCTTGCAAGGGGACCCTGACATGGCAGCATGTTTCAACGCCTACACCGATGCTCGGAAGCGATTGGCTGATCGAGCAAAAGGACGGGGGTTCTGGGGACCCTCCAAAAAGGGATTCGGAAAAGATCGAAAAGGAAAGGGTGGTCGCTCCGACTTTCGACCTCGGAAGCCACTCGCACAGCGGATTCTGGAAAGCAATTGCAGACGCTGCGGAGCTCGTGGTCATTGGAAGGCCGAATGCCCACTTCGCAATGCAGCCTCTGGTAACACTGCACCCAGAGAAGGCGGAACGTTCACGGGCTTGGCACTCCACGAACTGGATACAGACCCAAGTCAGGACGATGATATGATTCCAATTGAAGCTCCTTGGAAGTCATGGCATGATGTGTTCATGGTTCACCACCTGCATGAGGGTTCGAAATGGGGATTTCTAGGAACCCGGGTCATCCATGAGAAACCAGGTCCAACCAAGTCTGCTCAGTCCTGCGTGCTCAGGCTGTTGCCTGCACTGAAGGCCAAACTAGGCCTGATCCATAGCCCCCTGACTGAAAGCAAAGGCGAAGAACCGCCTGTTGAAGCCGCCACCAATTTCGTAAGTCACGGCTCACTAGGGATTGTGGACTTAGGAGCCAGCCAGACTGTCATAGGAGAACATCAGGTGACCGAAGTCATTCAGCAGTTGCCAAAGTCCACGAAGATCCAAGAAGTGCCGTGCAGTACTGTTTTTCGATTTGGCAACAGCAGCACAGTGACGTGCGATCGAGCAATGTTAGTACCGTTAGGACCATATTATGTCAAAGTGTGCATCGTCCCATCCAAGACACCATTTCTGCTGTCCAACAATTTGTTTCGCAAGCTAGAAGCTTCGATCCACACAGCCACCGATGAAATTTTCTTTGGACGCCTGAACCTGCGACTTCCATTGCAGCTGACTGAAAAGAAGCTGTATCTCCTCGACTTCGCCGAACTCGTTCGTCAGGCTCAGAAAAATCATGATCCTCAGGCTCGAGGTACACAGAAGATCTCATCAGAGAGTATCCTCACGGTAGGCGAAGCACTGGAAAATCCTTTGTTCAAGAATCCCTCCACCGAGGCAAGCTCGTTCGGGAAGCCGTCGATCAACTCGGGGAATGATTCGAAGGTCAGCGACCAGCGTGATTCGTGCCCAAGACCCGGAGTGCATCTAGGTGTTTCCGATCGCCATGTCGAGCAGCACCGGAACGACCTTGTCCGACCGTTTCAAGGCCCTGCAGACAGCAGCTCTGGTCGATCAGCAGGATCCAGAAGCGATGTCAATCGAGGAGCTGTCCATGGTGAAGATCAACTTCGGGGACGCCAAGAGAGGCCAAACGTTTCAGGAAGTCCTGCAAACCGATCCGAAGTACGTGAGTTGGTTCCTCAGCCGCTACCAGGACAGCACCAAGCACTCACACAAGATGTTTGTGAGCTATCTCCGTCGGTGCATCGAAACCGAGGAGACCAACCGGGGAGTCACCGTGACTCAAACTCGGGGCCCGACCAAGGGATACCCGAAGGCCAAAGCTGGCAGCGCAAGCCGTCCAGCCACCCCGGAAGAGAGTGCAGTCTGGATGAACGAAGGGATGTGGGACATGGTGGAGGAAGAGCACGAGAACCACCTCCGAGATCTGGCAATCGAACAGCAGAATCAGCGCATCAGTCAGATGGAGAACACTCTGCAACAAATACTTCAAGCCTTGTCACCGACCCTCCCTCAGCTGGAACCGTCGGCGGGCACCACCGAGACCAAGACCAAGTGAGCAGAGTGACCGGATCCGAGACACTGCCGACAGCCCCGTGTGAGGTCAAATCCATGATCATGGACTGCATTGGTCATGATGTGTTGAAATCAGAACCTCAAACTGTTCTTGACCCTGCATACTTTCAAGAACTCGACTGTGGAGCCAAAAACCCAATATATAGTGAAATGATGCGATATTTTGGGAAACACTATGGAACTTCCGAAGCAATAGATCGACACCTCAATCGAATCGGCATAGACTTGCTTAGAGATCTATTGTGATGCCGAAAGCCAGTTGACCTCACAGGCTCAGGATCTCGGAATGAAAGCTGTTCGTTTCTGCCGTCAACACGGGGATCTTGGGACATTCGGTGGAAGGTGCAAACTGTATGATTTGATCTGGATCACAAGACCCCGAAACATATGGACGTCGCCCAACTGTGGTCCGTGGTCAGGTTGGAGTCATCTCAACGCCGGAAAGTCCCTGGTCCTCGCGGAAAGGATCTCTCGAGCCAGGTCTCATGAAAGGTGCCACCTCCATATGTGTGATGCACTGTGCCGACTTCAGATCAGAAGACGGCCTGAGTGTCATTTCCACCTCGAACAACCAGTCAACTCTGACATGATCTTTCAGGGGGAGCTTTCGTTCATAGTACACTACGCACTACAAGCAAAGTTCGACATGTGCACTGGGGGGAACCTCCAACATCCAGAACACTCGGAATTGTATCTGAAGAAGCGTATGCAAATATGGACAACATCCCGAGTCCTACATCGCACGATCGAACAATGGCAGTGTGTAGGTCAGCATAAACACACATCAATTGCCGGTAGTTGCCAGGTTCTGGGCCGAGGCCGAATGTCCATCACAAAGTACACCGAGCTATACACACGTGCATTTGCCAGAAAGATTAGTCAGGCTCTCCAGCTGTGTACTCAAAACCAAGAAAAGCAAGCAATCGCAATGACTTTGAGCGAGATTTTGGTAGGTGAAGAGGGAAACCCTAGAGAGGTGAAGCGCCGTCGCATCGAGACCAAATCTCCCCCTGGCACCACTGGGGCACCAGATATGCACGCTCGAGTCACCGAAATTCTCCGAGAAGTCGACCGGATCACACCAAGAGTCGGTCGAAATTGGATCACCCATGGCAAAATTTTGGAAACTCTGCAACAGGTGTTCCCGGAGAAACTCATTGTAGCAGTAGACGCCTGTCGGGGGATCAACAGACTTCGAATACCCCCCAAGCATGTGATACCACAAACATGCCCCATGCGGAGAGCAGTAGGCCGGAAACGTGATGATCAAACGATCATGATTGACGGGGGATGGGAGAATTGGACAATCTTATCAAATCGTCAACAGATTCGTGCCGGAACTCCTTCGAAGCTGTTGCTCACCATGTTCGCTAGGGAACACGAGCAGACCTCAATGCCAAAACCTGTGATCAGCGCATATGAGCCGGACCATTTTGGACCGGACCACCGAGAAAGCAAGATGTCGCCGCCAGACCTGGAATCAGCTGTGAAGACCGCTGATCATGATCCAACCGGATCGGAAGTCACAAAGCAAAGTGATTTCAAGCCAGTCCATGGACCCATGTTTCGAGCATTGCCGGAAAAGCTACAAACTCAGATCATCAAGATCCACAAAAACCTGGGACACCCCGGACTACCACAGATGAAGGCCGCACTCCAGAGTGAAGGATGGTCAGAAGTAGTCATCAAAGCATTGCCGGACTTCGCATGTGACACATGTCGTGAACAGGAAGCCCCAAAAGTCGCCCGTCCGGCCCACCTAAATGCCCCAAGGGACTTCAACGACCTAGTATCGTTCGATGCTCTTGAATGGAAAAGTACTGACGGCCAAAGTTTTTGGTGCTACCATTTCATCGACTCAGCCACCAACTTTCATGTAGCCGCCCCTTACCATCAAGGGACGTCCCAAGGGTTGATACAATGCTTTGAGGAAGCATGGATTCGCTGGGCCGGCCCACCCAAAGAGGTGATGTTCGACAGTTGCGGAGAAGCCAATAGCCAAGAGTTTGGGGAGTTCCTGCAAGGTCATGACATCAGAGCATATCCAATCCCATCTCGAGCACATTGGCAACTGGGGAGGGCTGAACGAAACGGTGCCATCCTGAAGACCATGTTGACAAAATACCACGCAGAAAGACCAATAAGAGATCACGAAGGGTTTCGTCAAGCACTTCTCCATCTCTGCAGTGCCAAAAATTCTCTTTCGAAGCATGTAGGATATAGTCCCGAGCTCCTGGTACTAGGAAAAAGCCGACGAGTCCCGGGCAGCCTGATGGAGAATGATCCACAGGACGCATCATCGTTCATGGACACCGAAGGAAGTAAGTTTAGACATCAAATCCTCATGCGAGAGGCCGCCCGAATCGCATATGTCAAGGCAGACCACTGCTCAGTGCTAAGGAAGTCACTCCATGCACGATCTCGACCATTCCGAATGATCCATAGTGTAGGGGATTGGGTGATGTACTGGAAGTCTTCCCGAACGGAGGAGGGCAAATGGCTTGGACCCGCCCGGGTACTGATGGTCGAACATAATGCAGTGTGGCTGTCACACCTGACTCGTCTATACCGAGTTGCGCCAGAGCATGTTAGAGTACTGTCATCCCATGAGCAAACCATGGCCAAGGAGCTCCAAGAACTAGGCACCACACCCATTCAAGGGGCTGGAGTCTTCCAATACCAAGACCAAATCCCAGAGGGAGTAGTTCAGGGGAGTGGGGATCAAATCCCATCCAGATCTCATGAAAACATACCCGAACTCATCCCGGTCCCCGACACTGAAGACCAACCTAGCCGTCAGCCGGAAAACCGGCCAGACTCGATAGGATCAGACCAACCCGATCAAGAGCCAGATGCAATTCCATCGCGTCCGGAAAGCCCGAACACAGGGGACACATCCATGCCTGATGCATCCCAGATCCCAGTCCCTGAAGAAGATGACGACTCACTGATGGCCCTGAATCTGGTGCATGACCATTGGCAGGTTACTGGGAACCAACTCATCAGACACCACAACAACCCACGAATGAGATACTTTCACCCGACCGATGACCCAAAGTGTCCAATCCCAATCGAAGCATTGGAAGAAACACGCAAAACACTTGGAAAACACCACCATGGAGAACAATTCCAACAGGTGGATGTATGGAAAGGGTCAGTCGTCAGTCACAGTTGTTTGGCCGATGTGTGGACTGGAAAGACCGTGTTCCAAATTAATCCACACAAGTATCAAGCGATGAAGCAGCTCGAACCCAGCCCCACCTGTGAAGAGAACCGACCTACTGGGGTGGAATGTGAAATATTCTTGACCACTGCTGAATTGACTAGATGCCAACACCTAAGTGCAAAACATCAAATAGCCCTGATTGCCTCTGCCGCCAAACGCCAGAAAGTAGAAGTGAGACTTAAAGAACTCACTCCCGAAGAACGCCGGGAATTCGAACAGGCCAAAGATAAGGAGTTGAATCAATGGATCTCAACGGAAACGATCAGACGAATCTTGCGAAGCCAAGTTCCTGAACATCAAATCCTCCGAACTAGATGGATCCTCACATGGAAGCCATTAGATGAACAAGCGGCCACGGAAACTGGGAAGACCCGAAAAGCAAAGGCTCGATTAGTAGTCTTAGGATATGAAGATCCAAACATAGACAGCGTGCAGCGGGACAGCCCAACCTTAGGAAGAGATAGCCGCATGCTTGCTTTGCAAATGATTGCATCCCAGAAGTGGTCACTGAGATCGTTCGACATTGCAACTGCTTTCCTACGCGGAAGCAAGCAGGATGACCGCATCCTTGCGATTGACCCGCCGGCCGAACTTCGACAGAAGCTTGGACTCAAGAGCAATGAAACTTGTGAACTCCTTAAGGGAGCCTATGGTTTAGTCAATGCACCCCTCTTGTGGTATGCCGAGCTTCGAAAGGCGTTATTGGGACTCAACTTCCAAGTGTCTCCACTAGATCCATGTTTATTCATACTCCCAAAATCCCAGACCGAGCGAAAACAGGGGGGAGCATGTCAGATCCATGGAGTTCTAGGAATACATGTTGATGATGGAATTTGTGGAGGGGATGAAGTCTTTGTGAAAGCCATTGAAGATCTTGAAAGAAAGTATCCTTTTGGAAGCAAAAAACAAAAGAACTTCGTGTTCACAGGAATCCAAGTGAATCAAGAGCCTTCCGGAGACATCAAGCTCAATCAAACCGAATATGTGAGAAACATCCCACCCATTGAGATCCCTCGAGAAAGAAGAAAAGAAAGCAAAACCACCGCAACCACTGAAGAGATACAGTCCCTAAGAGGACTCATAGGAAGCCTCCAATATGCAGCAACCAACACTAGGCCAGATGTCTCATGTCGTCTCAGCCTGCTCCAAGCAAAGATTCCAAATGCAACAGTTGGTGACCTTCTTGAGGCCAATCGCCTTCTAGAGGACACCAAGAGAAATGCCGACGTCCAGATCCGAATCCAGTCACTTCCATCAGAAGAGATTAAGTTCATATCATTCTCGGACGCAGCATTTGCGACACGAGAACGAGCCCATTCACAGAGAGGCACATTCATTTTGGCAACCACCCAAAAGGTCGAAGAACCCCAAGGTTCCAAAGTCAGCCCTCTTGTATGGAGTTCTAAGAAGATCCAAAGAGTGGTTTCAAGCACACTTGCTTCAGAAACATACGCACTCTCAGGAGCTCTCGACCAGCTAAGTTGGATTAGACTGCAGTGGAGCTGGATGTTGGATCCTCAAATCGAATGGAGGACACCAGCTGAGACCTTGGCCAGAATTCCATCCGCCTATGCTGTGGTTGATTGCAAAAGCTTGTATGACCTCCTCCAAAAGACGGCGGTGCCATCATGTTCTGAATATAGAACGTTGCTAGAAGCCTTGGTGATAAAAGATCGTCTTAAGGAAGGAATAATCATCAAGTGGGTCCATAGTGCCGCACAAATGGCTGATTCGCTGACAAAGGATATGGACACATCGGTCTTGCGAACATTTCTCCAACACGGGAGATGTATGCTTAGGGACGTAAATGAGGTCCTCAAACAGCGATCAGACAAGCGTCTGAGGCAAGCTTGGATACAGTCATCATCCCCTGAGGAATCTCAAGTGTGCCAAACATGTGTGGGAAGTAATCCCTAGGATTACCAAAGGGAAAACACTTGAAGAAGATGAGATCATCCATACTGCCTGCCGCCTATGCACTTGACCAATTGCATAAAATTAAGTATAGATAGTTTTTAGGAGTGTTGATTTGTGCCACCAGCCATCGACCGTTCGTCACATGCCACAGGGAACTCAGCCGAGTATAGGGGATGCATGGCCAATGCTCCTTTGGCTCTAGTCAGGGGGCTTTGGTGGTAGGCGTGTGGTCGCGCCATAGGGCTGTGGCCAGTCACCGAAGGCACGGTCGAGGACGACCTCAGGAAGCTCAGAAGGAAGAAACAGCGCGTGGCTGCGCTTGCAGCTGTGGTGGTGGGGAAGTGGTCGGGGCCCGCGCCAGTGTGTGTAATACACACCTTATATATACTATAATACAGTTATACATGATATAGCATCCCTTTGGGACCTAGTTCAACCATCAATGAATGTTGGCAGTTTGGTCAACAGTTGTCCAGTGTCAAAGAAACACTCCGCTAGACGAGAGTGGGATGTGTCCTTTCTTTATGCGTTTGTCAGGTGTCTCCGCACTTCCATCGGTCGCCTGCGCAGGTTGGACCTGCCAGCGGTACCCGAGGAGTGGGACGCTGAAGCGACACCCGAACCGGGCGAAGTCACGTACATGAGGATCACATCTTCCTGCTGGGATCAGCTGGTGCCGATTCCTTGCAAATCTGCGCCAGTTTTGGAGGGGCTGCAAGCCAACGGAAGAGTTGAAAGATGAATGGGAAGGTCATTTGTCCATTCAGTTCTAGGATCTATGTCTTCTGGACTTGGACGTGAATTCCCAAAAGCGAGAAGAGAGACCTACCCGTATTTCTGATCATGGAACTAGGCGAGCAAGTGCAACCCGATTTCTGGTCGCCCCCATGCTGCAGGAGAAGGAGAACGTGAAGCCAGCCATTGGAAAGGTGGGAGTGGACATTTGGAGATGAACTTTGTCTATTTGAGGCTCTTTAATGCTATTTCAGTGGGATCCTCAATCCTCAGTGCAACCGTTTCCAAGCACTCTTGCGGAACACTATATATCTGGAGTCTGGAGAGAGATCAAAATAGGGAGCTGACCCCAAATCTGTTTTACTATCTGTATTTTCGGGACAAAGCAAAGGCACGGTTGGATTCGGCAAATCGGCGCACTGCATGGGCGTCACACCTGAGGAGCCCTTTCTGGTTTTTCCGGAAGCCCATTTGGGATCCGTTTCCGTTCCGAACCTCAGAAGGTACGACTGGACCCGACAACGGCGAACACATTACTGTACCTCAGAGAGTATGTGGATTTTTAGGGCAGGGAAAGTGGGGAGTTTTCGCAGCTTTTCTGACACCCCTGAAAGGGTTCCTCAAAGTCTTGGTGATGGTTGAGATGCTGACACGTGAACACTGTTCTTGAAATAAACATCTTCTTGATGAGCGTTTTCATTCTGAGAGGTCATCCCGTCATCCCTTTGCATCAGAAGGGCGGACCAGGGCAGCGAATTCTCATGTTATGCCCGGCATCGCCAGGCTGGCTGAGCAAGGGACATCGCGGATCTTCGGCGGTTCAATCGGGGAGGCACAGGAGTCTTCTCATCAATACTCTGCGACTCACTAACATGGAAGTCGAAACTGGTCCCTTGGATGGCTACTTTCCTCTACGAAGGGGGCTTTCCACTTCTATGTGAGTGAATCGGAGTCTATTGTTCAAAAGTTCCTTTCAGAGTAGTAAGTTCCCCGAGATAGTGGGTCTTCCATCGAACTTGAAACGGTCGTAGCGCCATTACGAAGCGCCTGTTGTGGTTTGAGGCTCGTCCCACGGGTACGGGGCCTGGAAGTCATCCCCGCATGAGGACATGACAGATCGATCACATTCGAAGACCATATATATAATTTAAGGGCTACGCCCCCGTGCCGCCGACCCCGGGAAGTAGGAGTGGAGAAGGCTTGGACGGGAGCAGGGGTGGTCGTTGTGGTGAAGGGGAGGCAGGGTAGAGAGGGGGAGGGATGTGGAGAGGCGCGAGCGGGAGGAGGAGAAGGGGAGGAGCAGGGGATAGGGCCCAGCGTCTGGTTCGGTCGCTGTGGCGAAGCAGGGGAGGTCGAGGAGGAAAGAACGGGGCGGTGCGGCGTCTGGTTCGGTCGCCGCGTCTACAAAAGGACAAGCAGGGACGGGAGCAGGGTGGTCGTTGTTGTCGAGGGGAGGCAGGGCAGAGAGGGGGAGGGATATGGAGAGGCGAGCGGGGGGAGGAGAAGGAGAGGAGGAGGGGACAGGCCCAGCGTCTGCTTCGGTCGCTGTGGCGAGGCAGGGGAGGTCGAGGAGGAAAACTAGCATGGGGGGCGTGGCGTCTGGTTCGGTCGCCGCGTGTCTGAGGGGAGGAGGCAGGGACGGGGTCAGGTGTGGTCGTTGGGGTGGAGTGGGAGAAGGGCGGAGAAAGGGGGAGGGACAGGGGGGGTCGTGTATGCAAGCGGGAGGAGGAGAGGGAAAGGGGAAGGCACAGGGCCCAGCGTCTGTTTCGGTCGCTGTGGCGAGGCAGGGGCAGGGCGAGGAAGAAAGCAGGGAGGGCGCAGCGTCTGGTTCGGTCGCTGCGTGTAGGAGAGGAGGAGGCAGGGAAGGGGGTCAGACATAGGCGCGATGGTCGAGGGGGAACAGGGCAGAGAGAGACGACAACTTTTCTTGTTCCTGTTTTGGGTCGGGGTGGATTGGCTACAAAAGTGGACCCCGCAAAAGGCGAAATTGTGGCGAAAGTTGAGCGGAAGATCGGCGAAAGTTGACCCTGCCAAACTCGGCCTCTAGCCCATTAGGAGTAAGAGTATGCGTAAGTTCGAGTGACTGGTTGCTACTGTGAATTTGCATGTTTGATGCTTGCTGACTCCCAAGAGAAAGAAAACAGACGCACAGGGTGTCAACAGCTACGTAGAAGACACATGCTGACAGACAGTGAAGTTCTAATATTTCGTGTTTGCTAGTAACGAAAGAAGGTGTGACGAGAACAAAACCACAACACACACATGGCACAGATAAGGGCAACATACTGCGGCGAAAGATAGAACGCAGGAAGGCGAAAGGTAGGGTAAATAACTTTATTGTGGGGAAAAGGATCGAGCGCGGAGAAAGGAACTTTGGGTGAACTCGCACAGGCAACAGTGCACAGAGAAGGTGGAAGCGGGTTGTCTGGATTTGTTTGAACATAGTGAAAGCAAGTGAAAGCGGCAGAGGGCCAATTTTTTTTTTGCGAGGATTCTTTTTGGAAACACGTGTGACATTGTTAGTCAAGTGAAGGTTTGTGAGGCAGAGAAATGCAAAAAGAGAGGTGAGGCAGTGGAGAGGGGAAAGGAAATTTGAGGCAGGGAACGTGTAAAGGTTAACTTAACTGGAGGAGGAGGAAATGCGAGGTGTGGCGTGGGTGAATTTTGGGGGCTGTTTTACTGTGAGGCGGTCAGTGGCAGGAAACTGGCGGAATGGAACTGGCGACAGGGGAAATGCGAAACAGGGCACCTGAGCAGTGAACTGGGCAGAGGACACTGGACGCAGGGAATTGGCTCTGGGGACCTTGAGGCAGGGAACTGGAAGCAGGGAACTGGAGGCAGGGAAGTGGAAGCGTGGACGCAGGGAACTGGGGTTGTCTCCGTATGAGTTTACTATGCACTGGGAGATCGTCCCAACGCGGGTCCCCTATAGCCGCAAAGAGTGGGAAGCTGCTGACGCGACAGCCTGGGACGTTCGGCTGACGCCCGCGGGTAACCGCAAGTTACTTGCCAGTGCTTGGGATGCCCAAGCGCGGCTGCGGCCCGGTGCATGTGCACTACGCCCTACGGTTGGAGCCCAGCGCGGATCGACTGCTTTTTCCCCGCGCAGGAGCTACGGCCAGCCTCCAGCACAACTGGTACCTACAACGTCGCCGGCGACCGAAATGCCCGCACTTTGCCGCTTGCCCCGTCCCCAAGGGCTTCGCCGACAACGCGGACGCCAACGCACGGCTCACGCAAATATACTTTCGCGCGCGGACACTCAACCTTGCGCAGGCGACAGACGCAGTTCCGTTCTTAATTTGCTTGGTCAACACAACTGCTGGGAAGATTCGTTACGACATTGGCTGCATCGGTTGCCCTGCGCAGAAGCAAAGCGCAACGTGGGGAACTTCCTTTCCGTGTATCGCGTACGGCCCAGTGCCGACGCAGACGGAAACAGTGAAGATGATGCGGCCGACGAAGCTCTGATTTTGACGACGGCCCAGCTCTCGGGTGCTTTGTGCACGCAAAGGCCGGCGGCTTCGCAGAAACAGGGGCCTGCTCATAATGACGACCGCGCCCATCGCGTCGAAGAAGCGATGCGGCAGGCCGATGCCCTGTGGTCGCCGATCATGTGCTCGGACGCCTGTGCACGCGGGGCTTCGGCCACCTACGCTGCCCTTTCGTCGGAAGCAGCGCGCAAAGCAACGCGAGCGCAGCCAGCGAAGAAACTGGATGCTATGGCAATGCAGCGCACGCACGCCGCGGCAGTGCGGCCTGCGCCGGAGAGCATGACCCACACTGTGCGATCGTGGATGGCAGAACTGGCGACGAAGGACGCCTGCAACGCCGAGCAACGTAGTTTCTGTGCTCGCGCGCGGGTCTTGCAGGAACTACACGACCGCCAATTGGAACCAGGCCAGCCTTGGTCCAAACCGCTGCGCTGGGTGCTGCACGGTGGTCCCGGCACTGGTAAATCGCATACACTGAAAATGCTCCGGCGGGAGTTGTTTGAGGAGACGTTGGGTTGGACGCACGGCGTACACTTTCAAGTCGTAAGCTTTCAAGCAGTTATGGCCGAGCTCTTGGACGGAGACACCATACATCATGCGTTGGGCTTGGACTGGGCCGGGGACAGGAACCAGAATATGTTACGCACATTGCGTCGCACGCAAGAAACCTTGCAATGGCGGTGGTTGATTCTTGACGAGTTCAGTATGGTCAGTGCAGAACTGCTCGCGCAATTGGAGCAACGCTGCCGAGAGATCATGCGTGATCTCAGCCTAGCGAAGTTCGCCGCCGATGGTTCCGTGGAGCCCTTTGGTGGCTTGAACGTCATTTTATCGGGGGATTTGTACCAGCTGCCACCGCCGAAAGGGACCTTCTTAGGAGACGTCCCATGGGACCTCTCCGGGAAAAAAACCGCGAAGCAGGCGACCGCCTTGCATGGTCAAACACTGCTCTGGGGCGGGCCGGCCGTTGGCGTGCAAGGGCTCACGGAACTGCACCGCTGCATGCGGACAGGCGACACATGGCTCACAGAAGTGCAGGAGCAGCTGCGGCATGGGGACTTGTGTCGCAGGACAACCACGCTTTCTTGCACGGAAACCTGACCTCGGTGCCAGGCAGCTGGACGCAGGGAAACGTGGCGTGCGGCGACGCTGCTTGCGCAGCATTGGTAGGTCAGAGACCCGACGACATCAAACAGCGCGAGTGTGCAATCTGCGCCACAGACCGTCTTTCGAGGCAGTTGGTAGCACGCGACGCTGCAGATCCACGGTTCCGCAGTAGTTTTGCGGGCGCCACTGCCATCTTTGCCACGAATGACGTGAAGTACCACGTGAACAAGCGTCGTGCCATCAGCTGGGCTGCGGAACGCAAACTCGCAACGTACATAGCTGTGGCCCGGGATGTGGCGTCTGCGACCGTGTTGCAAGACAAACCCAACATAGCCGCGGAAAAGGTGCAGTGGCTGCAGAGACATGACCAGGAGTGTAGTGGTCTGTATGGTCTTTTGCCATTGTGTGTCGGTCTACCCGTTCGTGCCACGGACCATCTGGATCGGCAACGCGGTATTTTGAAAGGCTGCCGGGGCACAGTGGTCGGCTGGTCCTCGCCGCCGGAGGAGGTCCTTGGTGATGGCGTGGTGCTCTGGAACGCATTGCCGGAGGTCGTTTACGTCAAGTTCTGCACAGCCACGGCGTGGCAAGTACACGGGCTGCCGGACGCGAACGTGTATCCAGTAGCGCCGTGCAAGCGCGTTTGGTTCCTGGATCGGCAGAAGAAAAACCCGCAGTTGCGTGTTTGGCGCACTCAGTTTCCGCTGGCACCGGCGTTTGCTATTACGGCGCACGTTGCGCAGGGGCAAACCATTGTAGAAGGGGTTATGACAGACTTGAATATTGGCCTCGGGGGAAACCCCTTTACGGCTTATGTTGCTTTCATGCGGGTCGAAGGCCGACTGAAACTTTTACTGTTTCGCCCCTTTGACGCGAAGCCGTTCCAACGTGGAGTCGGTGTGGGTCGCGAACTTTTGCTGCAGCACCTCCGCGGTGAACCGATCGATTGGTCGGCGCTTCTGACGAAATACTGCGAAGAAAGACGCTGCAGCGTATGCGACCAACGGAAGCCAAAGACTGCCTTTACCCCAGGGCAGTGGAAACGCGACGATGCCGAACGCGTATGTCGCGAGTGCTGCCGACACTATGCAGACGCAGGCACGCCGTGGCAGTGCTATGTGTGCAAGGTCTGGCACGCGGAAGCGAATTTTCCACTGAAATACCATCAACCGCAGTGTTCGTTTTATCGTGTGTGTCTCACGTGTGAAACGCAAAAACCGTGCGCGCGCTGCGCCCAGCGCAAGCCGGAAGCCGCTTTTGGCGCAGCAGCGTGGAAAACGCGCCACGCCGAACGACGCATTTGTTGCGAGTGCGCTGCCAGAGAACGCGGGTTCTGGCGTTGCGCAAACTGCGGAGACCGTCAATCACGCTCCCACTTTAGGCTTTGGCTCGGCCACCGCGGAGCGAAGACACACGGGGACCAGACGTGCAATCGCTGCATCGGGTTGCTCGTCGCTTGTCGCTTCGCTGCGCGCACCAACTTCAGACTCGCGCGCCTCCGTGCTCGGCTCTCTATCCTCGAAAGCCTCGACGCGCGTATCGCCCAACCCCTCACAGCGCCAGTGCCATGTCTGGCGCACGACACAGCAGCTTCGACAACGCAACAGCAGGGCACACAGCCGTTGCGCATGCCTAGCCAGGTCCACCGACACACCGCACCGACAGGACATCGCGCAACAGGCATCTCCCCGCGAATGTCGCGCAAACGCGCGCGAGAAGAGGCGCCGTCCACTACAGACGCAGCGCGACGTCCCAACGGACGCGCAAGGTCGACTCCAAAGCAAGCCTACCACTACGTTTGCCCCCGCTGCAACACGCATGTCCGCAGCACGGTACGCACCGGCAGGGTGGATCACCGCGGCACCTGTGGGAAACGCTTCCATGTCCATGACGGTCAAGTGGCAATGAAAAAACATAGATATTGTTGTCCATGGTGCAAAACCCATGTGTCTAGTGCAATCCACACTGGGCGCGTGGACCATCGAACGGTGTGTGGCAATCAGTTTCATGTCCAAGAAGGGGTGGTCGCCGCAGCGACACGACGTTACGCACACCGTTGCCCAGTCTGCCGCACCCGTTGTGTGGTCCAGCCTCGCGTTTGGCCGACTGCGCATTGCGCACGCATCGCCTTCCGGGAAACCGTGCCCCAACCAAGCGTGGAATGTCCCAAACAAAAAACTAACCGCAAAAAAAGAACCGGAGGAAAGTGAGGACTTTGAGAAGTGAATGTGCGCGGTCTTGCGACAGCGCAACACACACAGCACTGCGAGAAGCCAGTCAGCGTTGCCAGAAGCTCGATGCCTGACCCTGGTTGGTGCCCTTGGCCCCTGACGCTGGCTGCTGTGGCGCGCGTGCCCGTGGCCAGTCCTACCGCTGCTTTCGGACGTGGTCCCTGGCCCTGACCTGGGCTCTGGCAGCTGCCAGGGCCAGTCCTAACGTCGTAGGGGGACCTGGACTTCTATACCTCGTAGGACTCTTCTCTGAAACAGAATTCTGGGTTGCTGCTTTTGTCTTTCTGCCTCACGAACCCGTGGGCTCTGGCTGTTATCCTGACCTGGCGCAGGCTTTGAGGTTGGGACGTGGCCTCTGGCCCTGACCTGGGGTCTGGCAGCTCTCCTGTGACAGGCCCTAGCCTTGACGTGGCCCCTGTGGCCGTGACGTGAAAGCAGCT